ATCATAACTCTTCAACCTGAATTCATAATGTATTTAATCCATGCATGATTTAATGGAAGACTAAAAATGCTGGGTTGTTTTGACTCAATAGTGGGTCAAATATGGACAAACCGAATGTTAAGTTAATTGTATTTAATAAAAAGTGTATAAGATTTTTATTAGCTAACTGTTTGATTTGTCCATAATTGACCCAATGTGGTCTTAATACAACCCAGAATAATAGGAGTATTACAAACAGTATTTATATTATATTCCCAAAATATAACATGCACCATAAATGCATCATAACGCTTCAATCTGAATCCATAATCTTCAATCTTTGCATGATTTAATGGTACATTCTATAAAAATGTTCTATAAAATGAAAATTAAATATTAAAATAAATATTAAATTAAAATATGGTCAAACCCAATGTTGGTTTAATTTTTTTAATAAACATTTAATTAAATCTTTTTAACCTAACTATTTGATATTTTCCATATTTGACCCAATGTTGGTTTAATAAAACCCAGAATATTTAAAGAGCACATTAACAACAAATATTTATTTAATATTCCACAAATATAACATCAATGCATCATAACTCTTCAATCAGACTGTAGAATCTGTTCAATCCATGCATGATTTAATGGTAGACTTTAAAAAAAAAAAGCTGGGTCGTTTTGACCCAAGGTTGAGTCAAATGTGGACAAACCCCATGTTTGGTTAATTTCTTTTAACAAAAAGTATATAACTTTTTTTAACCTAACTGTTTGATTTGTCCATATTTGACCCAATGTGGTCTTAATACAACCCAGAATAATTAGAGTTTTAAAAAGAGTATTTATATAATATTGCAAAAATATAACATGCACCATAAATACATCATAATTCTCCAAACTGAATTCATAATATTCAATCCATCCATGATTTAATGGTACATTCTGAAAAATGCTGGGTTGTTTCGACCCAATGTTGGGTCAAATTTGAACAAACCAAATGTTGGTTTAATTTTTAAAATTAAAATGTAATTAAATCTTTTCAACCTAACTATTTGATATTTTCCATATTTGACCCAATGTTGGATTAATAAAACCCAGAATATTTAGAGTGAACACTGTAAGAGGCTGTATGTGTTCGTATATGTTGCATTTATTTATTTATTTTATATTATCGCAGATGTTACAGTAGGCTATTTCGCATCTTCATTGATCCGCAGTTATAATCTTTCTTAACAAGTAAAAATATTGTCTTGTTTTTTTAGAAATAATAAGTCAAAAGTAAATGAGTTTTTTCCTAAACCAAGCTAAATAACTTGCCAATAGCATAAGCAAAATAATCTTATTTCAATGCAAAAATATATACTACTTTACTAACCCCATTGGCAGAGTATTTTGCTTGTTTTAAAGAAAAGCTCACTTAATTTTTATTCCTTTTTTCCAAAAATTGTATTTGTAGATATTTGGACTTGAAACAAAACCAAAACATTTTTTTTTGCTGTAAGATCAGAATTATAGTAATTGCAACTTTCAAAGTAGCATCTTTGTCAAATGGTAAATTACAAGTTGGAAACGCTGAGTAATGGCAGATGTAAGGAGTGTTTGGGAAATCAGGCTGAAAACGGTCATTAGTTTAGTGACGCGAGTGCTGCAGAAATGACATGCTTCACCTTCACATGTTTTGCAAATAGAAGTGAATAATGTAGTATTTTTTATCAGCAATAGCACAATATTATATACTATAAAATAGGAGTATAAAAAGTTGTGAAATACTATTTTAATACTTTTTTTTTCCAAAATGCAATATTTATAAAATAGAAATAATCACAATTTTCACTAAATTATTGATGCATAACAATGGATAATATTTATAATGGATAATAAAGATCAGATTTAAAAAAAAAAGGTATAAATTTAATAGGAGAAAAAAAATTAGATATATATTTGAAGTCAGAATTATTAGCCCCCCTTGATTTTTTTTTCTTCTTTTTTTAAATATTTTTCAAAATATGTTTAACAGAGCAAGGAAATTTTCACAGTATGATAATATTTTTTCTTCTGGAGAAAGTCTTATTTGTTTTGTTTTTTTCGGCTAGAATAAAAGCAGTTTTAAATTTTTTAAAACACCATTTTAGGGACAAAATGATTAGCCCCTATATTTTTTCTCGATAGTCTACAGAACCAGCCACTAGTTACCAATTAACCTAGTTAAGCCTTTAAATGTCACTTTTAGAGGTAACTCTCACCTAGGTAACTATATGTGTGTGTGTGACTTTTACCTATTTAATAGGTGTGTCCTCCTATTTAATTTATAAAAAAATAATGTTGTTTAATGTATAATGCACATATATATATTAATTATATTTGTCAAAAAAATTAAATCAAAAAGCTTAACACTCAAATTAGCAGTGCTGTTAAATTAATTATCGCAAAAAAAATTAAGTTTGCATTGCATTTACATAACTTTTTGTTTACTGTGTATATACATGTATAGGGCATGTTTATTTATATTCATATCCATATAACAAAATTATACATATAATTTATATATACACACATATATATATACACACACACACACACACACACTCACACATACATATATATATATATATATATATATATATATATATATATATATATATATATATATAAACTAATTAAGAATATACATGCATGTGTATTTGCATTTAAAAATGCTAAATAAATATACACAATACACACACATATAATATGTAAATACAAGCTTTTATTATATGGAATTAGTCAATTAATTCCCCACAGTCCATTTTGGCAGTAAAACTATGATTATATAATTACATAATTATATATATAATAACTATAATTATGGTAAATATAGAGTTTTTAGCAGAATAATTTTATGGTAAACTGCTAAATCAGACATGACCTGAATGCAGCAACAGAACGGCAAACAGTGTTCAGTGTTTGTTCAACACATTGCAGGAAAGTAAGGAACAATTTGTCAAAGTGATTGGCTTTTCTTGACAACTTGCTATCAGGAAGCATTCAACAAATCTTTAAATGAAAAAGCTAACTTTACAACTACTAGATTAAAACAAGATGAATAGGTTCCTTGTTGTAGTTTCATTGATGTACAGAAATCTGGACAGAATATTTCCAGTCCAACTCTATAAAGACGATCTTTCTTCTCCAGGCAAGTGTAATTTATTGACAGGTGGGCAGTCGGAAACAGAAATAAATCATATAAACTGTGTGTGTGTAGACCAACTGCTGGATAAATTTATCTCTGTTATCCAATACACTCTCCCTCAGGTGACGTAATTGAGCATGAAATTCAGCAGGACAGAAGAAATATGGAAGTTAAAGTAGTCTGCATTAAATAGTTTAATGTTGTTTGACATGGCGCCAGCGTTTAAAGGGAAACCTGCATCGGGACTTGTATGCCTTAATATAATGTAAATTATGTTGTTTAATGAAATACAGTGCTCAGCATCAATAAGTACACCCCATCATTTTTTAAATTAATATTTCTCAGTGAACATAGGTCATATATTTTGGTGCATTTGTTTTAATTAACAGATATGTTTATTTACATCATATTTTAGTCACTGGACATCTTGGAAAGATCATTTTAATTCAAGCTAAATAATCACAAAACAAATTGAAGACCTCAAACTTTGAACAAAATTGTAGATATGTTTTGTTTTTCTTGGATTTTCCTCCTTTTTAAATTTGCATTTAATATTTTTCTCAAACACAAATTTGGGCTACAAATTTTTGGGACATTACTGTAAGTCAGTGGTTCTCAAACTTTTTTCTATCAAGTACCACATTAGAAAAACATTGTCTTTCCAAGTACCACCAAAATGAGCAGTATTGAAATACCGTAGCGTAGTTGGACCAGTAAAGCAGCTAAAACTGCACAGTTAAAAATCCTGGCAGATTACCTTAGAAATATAGCCTATATATAATATATAGCATATTATATACATCATTTTTAATAAATTTTGAATTATATGTAGCATGTATATGACATATTTAATTCCTCCGTGTACCACTAGAAGGAAGCCCGCGTACCACTAGTGGTACACGTACCACAGTTTGAGAACCACTGCTGTAAGTTATTTTGTTGTATAAGCTCTAGATGTGGCTTCAGTACTGACTAATCTTAAGTACAGTTGAAGTCAGAATTATTAGGCCTCTTTGAATTTATTCTCTTTTTGAAATATTTCCCAAATGATGTTTAACAGAGCAAAGAATTTTTTACAGTATATCTGATAATATTTTTCCTTCTGTAGAAAATCTTATTTGTTTTATTTCGGCTAGAATAAAATCAGTTTTTAATTTTTTAAACATCATTTTACGGTCAATATTATTAGCCCCTTTAAGCTAATTTGTTTTCTGATAGTTAACAGAACAAACTATCGTTATACAATAACTTGCCTAATTACCCTAACCTGCCTAGTTAACCTAAATAACCTAGTTAAGCCTTTAAATGTCACTTTAAGCTGTATAGAAGTGTCTTAAAAAATATCTAGTCAAATATTATTTACGGTCATCATGACAAAGATAAAATAAATTCGTTATTAGAGATGAGTGATTAAAACTATTATGTTTAGAAATGTGTTGGAAAAATCTGCTCTTTGTTAAACAGAAAAGAGGGGAAAAATAGGGGGGCTAATAATTCTGACTTCAACTGTATATATGCACAAATATATTATTGTATAGTTTCCTATTAAAAATATAAAAGATAGATTTGTGAGGAGTGTACTCAAATGCTGAGCACTGCATGTAGAAACAAAACATGAGAGATTTACATTATTAAAAAAATAAATAAATAAACATTGTTTTATACATATGTTGCACTACGGGTGCCGCTATTATTTTGTTCCCATTGTAAAACAGCACTACTGGGAATGCAAAATGCTAAAATGATGCCACATTGTGCGGTATTATATTCACACACCCCTTATAAAAGTGATCTTTGTATAATAGGCCTCCTTTAAATGCATGTCTAATTTCTCAATACACACTCATGTAACTTAATCTTTTCATTTCAGCCACGTTTCAGGCCCTCTGCCTTCAAACCGGTCACCCCGAAAAACTTCAGCTCCATGCAAAACCTCTACCCATCCAAATCAGATGAGCTGGAGTGCAGTTTACCCAACGGCATGCATCCGTCCTATAGCAAAGCACAAGCCAAATCAATGTCCACCTCTTCATCGTCCTCCTCTCCATCGCGTCCAGGTACAAGCACTAGTAAAGGAGTGTTAACAGCAGCCCGCGGACTCAGCCAAGAAGAGGAAAACACATCTGACTCCGGACACAACTCTATGAACAGCCTGCCGCCCTACAAGCCACCCTTCCGCCCTCATTTGGGTCAAATCAGCGCCTCGATGGGTCACATCAACCACATCGGCTCACTGGACCGCACGTCTCTGGGATCTAAAGGAGCTGCGTCTACAGTCACGGAGGTGTCCTGTCAGAGTATGGCAACTCTCAATCGTCTGCAGTGTTACGGTAGCGAGGCGCCACCACCGTATGAACTGTCCCAATCTCTGGAGGACGTGATTCGGGATCTGGAGGAACGACTTCAGGAGAAAGAGCATGAGCTGAGGCAGATGAGGAGGAACCTAGACGAGAGCGAAGACGCCATTGCACAGGTGAGAGCCCACAAAAACATACAAGGCCCTGTTTACACTGTCACGCCTGTTTCACACCGCAAGCGTCAGCGGCGCGTGAGCAGAGCGTGAGCAGAGCGTATGTCGAGCAGTAGCAGCACGCAGGCGTTTGCCTTTCACACCAGCTGCGTCTGCAGCGCGCAGCTCTTCGGCAGCTGCTGCAGAGATCAACCTATCTCTGTCTATTCTATCTAGTTACCCATGTCTCTCTATATACAAATACACTTTTTAAACTTTTCATCTGCACCAAGGCCCCTTCTATGCTGTTTCTTTAACCTGCAAATGTTTATTTTACAAATTCTATAGATCAAATAGTACTGTATGCTTCTCAAGCTAACGTATATGAGAAGTGTCTACAGTCAGAGGACAATCGCCTGTGATATCATGTCATTTTTTTGATTGTCAGGTTGCTGTAGACCTAGTTATAATCATATTTATACAATATAGTTATAATGATATTTATACATGATCAAACTAGTGTTACTTTCTCCGCTTCAGTGATGTCCAGCGGCAGAATAACAGCTCGTTAATTCATGCTCGTGCAGAGGATGAGACGGACAAAAGTAACCAATGCATGCCATTCTTTTACTTATTTTCGTGTTGTCAGATTCACAGTGCAATTTGTGCAAACAGCTCCCGCTAGGAATAACTCGAGTGAACATAAAACAAAGCCGATTAAAACTTTCTTCCTCTGCTCAGCTGCACAGAACACAGCGAGCTCACATAATCCAGCATGCGTGTCGAACTACACTACCCACAATGCACTTCGCTATGGACTACAATTCCCGTAAATATTCTCTTTCCCCTCTCCTACAACACTAGTGTGCAACTTAAGCAAACTGATACTAAAATTGTTTTACATTTGGTTTTGTAGTTCGGGCCTAAATAAATGTTTGTTGCCGTTTTAAATCGTTTTAAGTTAATTTGAATGACTATATATAAACCATTTGACATTATTAACGCATTTATTGGGTAAAATTGCTACTTTTTACTGTCATTCAATGAGTTTTGGTCATTATCAGTGCACTGTCACTTTAATTGAGCGTGAGCAGCGCGTCAAAAATAGACCCAGCGCCAAAACTATCGCTGCACTGCTGCTTCGGCGACGCTCACGCCTCGCTCTGACGTGTTGCTGCTGCGTGCGGTATGAAAGCTCTAATCTGTTAACATGGACGCCGAAAACACACACGCTGCTCACGCTCTGCTCACGCGCCGCTGACGCTTGCGGTGTGAAACAGGCGTCAGGTCTTGATGCAAATTTTCTGAATTGTTGCCAATATCTGATTTTCTTGCCTGTTCATTTACACATTCTTGTAATTGTGACCCATATCCGATTCTTGTGTTTACACTTACAATTTATGAAGTCGTGCATGCATAAAGGTGGGTTCTAGTATCTGCACCACACCAAGGTTATTATAGTTAACGAAAACTAACATTTAAAATAAATATCGTTAACTGAATTAAAAAGTTATTTTTAAAACTAGAGCTAACTGAAACTGTATTGTGTACATACAAAACTAACTGAACTAACTAAAATTATAGCAAAAACCTCCTTCCTTTTCGTATTTGTGAATGTGTTTAATACACATAACCTTAAGCCGTTTAGAAGGAAATCTAATTCACGCTGCAGGTGTTTGACCCGTACGGCACCTCAGAGTCTGTAATCCTGCTGATCGAGCCGGTTCTCCTTCAGTCATCCTCGCTGTTGCTCCTGTGACAAAAACAGCGAGTGGACATGACAGCAGTACGGTGACAGCATTACAGGCACTTAAAACTATAACTAACACATTTGTGCCTAATAATGGGTTTTATTTCTGTCTCGCGATTACGAACCAATCTTTTTAACCAGATCTTCTAAGTGAACTGGTTGAACTAGTTTACTAAATCGAACTGAATCATTTGAAACGATTCGCATCTCCAGTAAGCACTTATCAACAAATGACTTACTTTTTAACAAGCATAATACCCCCCTCTGACTCGAAATAATCCAATATATGCTCTTATTTAGTTATTAGAACAGCAACGTTACACTGAGATCAATTTAAGAAGCAGTGAACCAATAAAACTGAGAATGCTTGATTCAGTGAACCGAACACAAACAGTACAGCCTGCTGTGACAGAACTAAACTTGAACAACTGCACCGCGGGTAAACCTGGGGCTTAAATGAGAGGATCGGGTGAAAAACGTGAGTTTATTTCATGACAGAAAATCGTAATGGAATTTAAATAAGTGAATTATGATTCAGTTGGGCTGCAAAACTTTACTACAAGACATTTTTCAGATCATGGTGATGTTTTAACTGATTGAAATTACTATTGACTATAAAACTTTAGCATGTTGAGTCCTAACATCAGCGTTAAACATCTGAACTTCCCATCACTACTGTGTATCTAACCTCAGAGCAGCCTTGCACACATATTGTACTCAAGGCTGCTATCTTGTGGGCTGCTGTATTTGAATTTGAGGATGGGTAGATGGTAATGGTAGATGATAGTGTTCATGTGTCCTCTAAATACAGGTTTCAGAAAATGTATGGTCGAGTTTTTACTATACAATTCTTATTCTGTTGATTTTGAATCTTGCACTTAACAAACATTCTTAATTAAGAAAAACTAATACTGAAACTAATAAAAGCTAAATTAAAACTAAAGCCGCCTTTCCACTGCACACGACATTTGGACACAACTGTCGGAATACGCCCCCTTGTGGCAGCCGCACAGTATTTTCAGTGTTGTCGTGCACCATGGGGGAGAAACTGATTCTCAAGGTGTCCGAAATAAAGGTGTGCAAAAGCAAATGTGGAGACGACATAAATTTTTTAAAAAAAATTATTACTTTCTTACTTACATTTATGAACAGAAAAGTTTTTTTTTTTAATATAGACTTTTCATAATTCAAAAAATAACCAAATAAACTCCTATTTTTCATCTCGCGCACGGATCTGCTTGTACAACACTGGAATACATCATATCCGGTCGGCAGGTCGCATACGGTCTAGTCGCAGGAGTTCAAATATTTCAACGGATCCGCAGCTCAATTCGGATCCGAATTTTCCGCATACGGAGATGATCGGAACTCCACGCAGCTCCCAGACTGCTCTCCATTGGAAATGAATGACTTCCGGTCTGTCGCTTGTCGTTTGTCATGTGCAGTGGAAAGGAGGCTTAAGACATTTCAAAATATAGAAACTAATAAAAACTAGTAAATCTGCCACTAAAAACTAATTAAAACTGACTGAATTTGAAAACAAAACGAAATAGAAACTAAAACTAATGAAAAATCAAAACTATTATAACCTTGCGCCACACTAGCCACGATGGAAGAAATAGTCTTGTGTTTAGCTCCGCGAATTATGCAAAGTTCGCCCAATTTTAAATAATTTTGAAGCGGAGGAGGCGGGAAATAGTCGTCATCGCAGCTTGCGCCTATGGTTTATAGATGACGTCCTCCATCATTCAGAGGAATTTGTGTGTACGCGATAGATCTCAGGTCTGTTGGGAGCAAATTGGGGCGACTGACCACTTTCCTCCTCCGGGTTTCCTCTGTTGTTGTTGTTTACCGTGTTGGTGTCTCCACACACACTCTTCCTTGGACATCATTAAACCGTGGAGAAGCACTACATTGTTGCAAGGTTAATGACGTACAAAATGAAATGCCTCAATAATTCCGATCTGCCTGTTTACATGATAGTCACGCATCCGATTTATATCTGATTTATTTCCAGATATGAAGGAAGATTTCTGAATATCCCAATGCATGCGTTTTTTTTTTTTTTTCGGGTTTACACGGCCATAAAACAGATGCGATCTGTGTCACGTATGAGAAAAAATTCGGAATTGGGTCACATTTAACTGGCAGTGTAAACGGGGCCAAAGTTATTCGCCATCCTGTGAATTTTTCCAAATATTTCACCAAATGATGTTTCACAGATTCAGGAATTTTTCACAGTATTTCCTATAATATTTTTTCCTCTGGAGAAAGTTTTACTTGTTTTATTTTGGCTAGAATAAAAGCAGTTTTTAAAGTTTTTAAACCATTTTAAGGTCAATATTATTAGCCTCCTTATGCAATATTTTCTGATTGTCTACAGAACAAACCACTATTATACAATGACTTGCCAAATTACCCAAGTTAAGCCTTTAAGGGCCTACTCACACTATGCCATCCGTACCGTGCCCAGGCCCGTTTCCCGGATCGTTTGAGAAGTGTGAGTGCGCTGAATCGGGCTCAAGCACGGTTCACTTGGCCGGCCCTGGCCCGGTTGGAAGAGGTGTGCCTGAGCGCGGATCACTTGGGCTTTGGCGCGGTACGCTTGTGTGTGAGTGCAAAACGCGCGAAAGCCCAAAACCGAAAGCGAGACGTGACTTTTAAGGGACTGTTTGATATGGATTTATTAATCATTCTTACTGTTCAGTGATCGCAAACTGCCGTCGTTTATTAAATACGCAAACTCCTCACAGCACGACAGCTGCACGGCTTCAGCAGACCTCCTCATTCCTGCAGCACGAGAGCTTTATGATTGTTTATGAGCACCAAAAGTGGCGGATCTGTTCGGTGAAATATCTGACTCCGTGTCACCGTATCCCTAAGGACTGTTTGGCGAAATATTTGACTGCATGTCACTGCATATCAAACGACTGAAAGGATATAACTAGAGAACTCTCCACTGTGCTGCTGAGTGAGAGCGTATGGCAAGCCGTTTTAGCATTTAAACCTTGTTCTGACTATCCATAAATATATTTAGAGATATAATTATATTTTGACTAGTCATAATTATAATTCGACTAGTCAGAATGACAATTATAGATATCTGCAATTACAATTGTACTAGTACGAAATCAGATTGGAGATATCTGCAAATATATTGACTAGTCATATTCCTCCATTGACTTCCATTGAAAACTATTTGCAAATATTTCTGAGTTTTGACTCGTCAAAAATCCAATTCAAGATATCTACAACTGTAATTCGACTATTAGTA